AGTAAGAAGAACTATCTGACTATCTGCGAAAGGAGTATACTTATATAGATAAGAGATTCGTATGCTCAGTCCTGCTTAGTAGTGAGCAGAGGTGAGCAACCTGCATGTGCTTAGTAGTGCTCAGTAGTGAGCAGAGGTGAGCAACCTTAAGTGTGCTCAGTCTTGGCTGTCCATAAGCAACCATCCAGGTAGTCTTGTCCTAGTGTCCGAGCCTAGTGCCTAGCTCTGGGCTGTGTGGCTCGGGCAACCTTCCCCTACTGGGAGGCGCTGTAATATAAAGCTACACTAGCCCCTTTAGAGCATTCTCTCAGAGAGAACTTTAGCCGCAAAATAATATGCTAGCACTTCACTACTATATAAATATACCTAAAAGCTCTTACTTTATAAATCTTAAATTCTTATATAATTTTTAATTTTTAATTTTAAATATCTTCTTTGAGATAGTAATCCAACTTCACAAAAGAGTTACGCCCAAGTAACCAAAATTACTTGAATGCAGTTGGAATAGTATATTAATCCTTAATCCAGATGCCCTAGAGAGAGTCGGACCACGACTCCATCTAGGCCCAAGGAGGCCTCCATGTCAACTCTGTGACATTCTTTAAATCTTAAGATTGTTGAAATATTTCTTAATATAAAGTTAAATATTGGTGAAGTGGATGAATTGATTCTATCTATCTGCAGAATCTATCTCTAGAAGAAGGAGACTAATACTACTAGTACTGCGCAGAGTGCGGTCACGTGATGCCGAGAATTTGGCTGTACGCGTACGGCCAATTCCAACACTTATGGCTTCAGATTTATATTAATTTTTAGTATTTTGTGAAAATGAAGTGTAACACTACTTAACCTTAAATAAAAGTGACCTACACTCTCCTGCAGAGGGTTGTCCTAAAGGGGCATAGCGTGGCCCTGGTCATGTGTCCACAGCAATGGGTGCTCTAGAAGTCCAAGACAACCCAAACACAGTTGTTAGGAATGCCGAGCGGTACAGGATGTATGAGATGGTTATGAACCTTACGTGGGATTCCTGTGGAATTCCCTCGGTAATCCAGTCTTTTGCCGCACGCAATAGTCCGCTGCCAAGATTGTTGTTTACCCGATCTGCCCCTCAAGTTGAGGCTCAAACGTCTCCCGAAGATTGGTGATGGCCATCGGGAGCAACCCTCGCAGCTTGGCCGAGATCCCTGCCAGCACCCATGCGCCCAGACCAGGGTGAGGAAGGTAGAATTTCATGGATGCCAAATCTACTACGTACCACGCAATGTTTTCTTGCAATCCTAGAGCCTGATGCAAGCTGAGGCATGGCAATTGGACAGCCCGATGCGGTGTCATGTGCAATGTGTGTGCCAGTCCGGCAGCGTTTATGGGGGTTTACCTACCTGAGAAAGTGAGGCAGTCCAGCAAGCTCCAACCAAAAGAACCTCATTGAGAGGAAATCCCGCCCCATACACCATTCAGATTGTGTCGGCATAACGTTGCATCGCTTACCACAGTCTGATATGTTGACAGTGGTTTATAACTTAGCGACTCCTCGAAATAGGTTAACAAGACTCATTCAGCTTCGACAGGGATGGGTCAGTATTTCAGACTGGACATAAGTGCTCTTTGCGCGTCAACAGTTGACATCAAGTACTTGGCTTGGTCCGTTCAACCGTCCGCATCTATTTGGTCCACATCCATCTGCCTACATGGTAAGCTTCAGTAATTTCACATCTGGTTCGAACAATACTGAAAACACTCTATTCAGCCTCCTGCGGTAGTCGTCAACATCACTGTCCATGCAAACCGGGTAGACCACAGTGTTGACATTACCGGCGTGCCTTATGAAGCAGGTCTTCGACAAAGCTTGATATCTGTTGACAATGCTCGAGCGACGCACGGCCGGATCGAGCCGACAGAAGCTGTGCTTTCCCTTAAGGACGCAGCAGGAAGAACTTATACATCCTCATCATACATCACTTTAATATGGTGGTTTTGGGGCGAGACGATCTCCAACAGAGAAGACTTCTACATCACCGAAGATCTTCCAACCGGTTGCAACGCCATGCTTCGTCGAACATCCGACGACGGTAAGCCCCAAAAGAAAGCACTTCCTCTCTTCACCAAGCCACAGACTAACGGTAAGTTGCTTACCCAGGTGCATAGATGCGTTTACGGCTTGGCTAACACGTATTTGATGTCCAAAAGAGGAGAAGAAAAACGCAGACGACAGACGCAAGTTGGAAGACAAAATTCACAGCGCAACAAGACAGGCTGAGAACCAGGAGATAGTGGACAAGACTAGAAAATTGACTCCTTCATCCACAAAGCAACCTTCTAAACACGCTCGACCGTCCAATCCATGAGTAAATTATAGCAGGGACAGTTTGGTTATGCTAGGAATATGAGTTTACTGATATGACAGACGGGTACATGCAGATCAAGCAATATAGGGACACTCATTAGGAGCCTCAGTGTATTGACCATTACTGTAATGAAGCGAATGGAGTGAGCTGGCCACCGAGACAAACAAAAGTCATTCATCTGGGCTGGCTTCAATATGCTCCCGCTTTGAGTTGTGTATTGAGGCTCAAGCCTACACTTGCCTGCTGCAAAGGGCAGCGTAGATTCTCGTCCAAATCATGTGGACAAATTGAAACCCCCACTCCTCGCCCCCCCCCTCTAGATGCTCTGATCGCCGCCCCCTTACAGACCGTAACACGCTTTACGCCTTGCCGATCTTCATACACGTCGACCACGAAAACGGCACATGCTATCACGGTCGTTGTATTCTGCCACTCACAACAGGTTTCCTGAAGACCCCAGATTGATATGCTGGCCCCATGCAGGCGATCTGTCGCAAGGAGGCACTGGCCAAGAAAATCCCACGTACTGCCAACTTCTTGTTGAAAGACCTGCCGCACTACAAGAAGGTCGTCATTGCGGATGATCATGAATCGCGGCTGGATTCTGAGAAACCGCTTTCTGATTGATGGGGCCCAGTGCTTGAATCGGCATGACGTCTTCTACCGTGCATTGCGAATTGTAGCAGACTGAGATGTTACACTTGCGGCATGACCATAGGTTCTGGGATGTGGGAGCGGAATCAGCTATGCATGGATTGGTAGCGTGCAAAGTTCGGATAGAAGAGTAGCTCCGCAGGCGCCAAGGCCCGAAGGCTCTAACTAGCAGGAGGTGAAATTTTTAAGGTTAAGGTTGCCGGCGGTAACCGAGGCCTGCCCGGCGCTGGTAGCCGACACTGACCAATTTAAAAAAATGTCAAATTTTACGACGGAGTGGTGGATATTCAGTATGAAACAGCCCAAGCAGCAGCAGCAGCTCCAAAGCATATGTCAAGGAATTGCAACACTTTTGCAATGGGCAATATTCCGCAGCTACTGGGCGGAATCACCCAGGTCTCGATTTTCTTCAACAGGGTGAGCATTTGGGTGCTCCCAACGCGCAATACAGCCTCAAGATTCACAAGTTTACCCTGATTTACAATTCGTATATACGTAGTAAGTCCAACGTGGAACCAATCCCTTGGTGCTTTCCTAGTTGATTCCTCGACAAAAGTACCTCTAACCAGTACAACGAAACTGTGGAGTGTTACACTCCTCGCCCGGCTACTCCGTATTGTTTCAGAAAAAGGGCGGGACGGGGATGCCGCCCCATCCGACCTGGAAATGTACTATATATATATGTATTTTACATGATTGCGGAAGCAGGGGAAGCGAGGGGAAGGAATGCTAGATGCGTTTCACAAGTGGATTAGCGTTTGCTATACATTGCTATGAATCTCATAGTACCGTTAATGCTACGAGCCGCCGGGGACGGCAGATCATCGTCAATGATCCAAAAGAAAGACAGACAATCCGAGTAGGAAGTTGTCGGCGATTTATCTTTCTGGGGGAAAAGCTCTCTTAGTATGGTATGTACCAGCGGAGCCCAGTAGTTGAGGTATAGGGTGCTACCAAAGCGAAGATCTGAAGAACACCAAAGAGTCTCCCATAGATCGCGCGCATCCTCCAAAGATTTCTCACCTCCCGGCTCTAGATAGCGAGCTCATTGCCCACGATCTCCAGCATGCATTTACCTTCATGCCAGCCTACATCCCCGACCAGACAGACGGACCACGCCAGTTGACTCCCATGGTCGCAGGAGGGTGGTAAGCACGCTACTAATCCGCACGCCAGACTCGACTCGACCTCTACCACCCAACATCGGATTCTTCAACTTGCGCCTCTCAGGCGTAAATACGGAGCTGCTCACCGAGGCTTTCGAGGTGGCTGCTCCGCAGCAGCGAGGAGCGCACTCGAGACTAAAGCTTTAGTGGTTCAATAGCAGGGCGGTGGTCTTGATCGATAGGGAGATTCGAGAGGCGTTGCTCGCTGAGGGATTTCAGCTCAGTGAGGTCGTGTTCACCACCCCCGGATTGGTGCTGCTGGCGGAGCCCTGGGCCTATCAGTTTTGTGCCAAGGTGGGTCGGATGGCTGATGGAGGGGGAGGAGGAGATGTTGGTGCAGAGGACAAAGATGCTACTGATGCTGCTGCCTATCGCTACTGCTTTTTATCGGACAAGAGATGGCAGACGATACCGCGTGGTCGAGTTTGCAGGCTTTTTCAAGACTATCGATTGCAACGCGCTGTCGATTCGCGTGCCTTCGCTGCAGCAATCCAGCATGTCAACGACGCCTATTGGGGGGATTCACATGTACGACCCACTATTGCTTAACCTGTCATGTTTGGTTTCTGCGTCTTTACAAAGCACGCTCTCTTGCTGCACTTCCCAGTCTATCGTTTCTTCCCGTACGCCGAACAAGACCCCGATCATCGCGATCAAGACGGGATGACGGACCTCGATATTTTTTGTTCTGCCGAGCCATCACATCTTTCACCAGCGTTATATGTCCCTGACTTATACCAGGCTGAGAGTCTCCGACCAGACCAGGAATGCGAAGAAGGGTCAAACATTGATCGTAATCCTTGACGCAGTTTCCACCTGCAGCAAATTCTGGGTTATCGGCTCCAAATCTAAACATGCTGAAGCCGTCAAGGGTATCGGCCCAGCGTCGACCGGTGCTGAAGATGATGCCAAGAAGCGAGCATGATACAGCCCACAATGCGAGTAGACTGATTATAGCGATGGGTGACAGCTGGCCAGGGACGATAATGGTGGTAGGCACTGCATTTGTTAGGTTCCCGTACCACAAGCCGCCTCTTGGTCCCGAGAGCTCTATTGCATATGCTTGGTGAGCGCGGATGATCGATTTTTTAAGTTGAGCAGATGTGATTACCTTCAGCTGTTGGGATCCGAAGGAAGAGTTGAGATGGAGTGGGTCACCTTCAGAGTTGCAAGGAATAGGGACCAGGTTATACGTGTCAACTGATTTGAAGAGGTTTGGGAGCCAAGATGCGTTGGACGCTATTTCAGGGATTGGGTTCGTACTGGGCGGACTGAATGTGTTGTTGTTTATACTTGGTGGATCGACCAACTCATTAAGTGCATTGAAGGAGAAATCCTCCCTCAGGTCTAATGCCGCGGCAGTTGAACTTCGAAGGATTTCTGGAACAGCCGTTGCGAGAGGAACGGAAGTAGCGGTGGCGCTCGAAACAGGTTCTTCCCGTGCGAAAGAGACATACGTGCCGTTCAATCCGTCCAAGGTTGCGGTACCCAATATGAGTGAGGAATTGCACTGCACACCGATAGCATCGAGGAGGACGGGGCTTGAGTCAGGCGATATCTCTGGCTCGTACGTGGAGTGATCGAGGTAGGGTTTCTGCATTCCCTCGACGATAACGGACAAGTCGTTGAACACTTCTTTCTCTAATATCTCACATGGGATTCGAAGCTTGACTGGTTTCTGCCAAACCGCCATCTCTAAGAGCACTGGTGTCGTGTCGCTGAATTGGTCGTCTTCCTTGTTCTCATATTTCAGGGCCATCTCCATTAAGCCATCAAGAAAACCCACATTGGCTAATGAAACCATATCCAGGGAGTTTTCTGCTGGACCTGATCGTTGGCCAATCGTATACACGTCGTGGTCACATAGTTTCGGTAAACCATAATATTGTGGTTGCCCGTCGTAGCTTGCAAAATCGATGGCAGGACATCGTGGCTTTGAGCGGTCTGCACTTCTTTGGCTTAGCAATTGAAATTGTTCGACACGACTAATGACGGTGCAGTCATATGAAGCTTGCAAGCCCCATACTGGACCCGAAACCGGCCTATCCGACTGAGGTGCCAAGAAGACTGTGGATTGATCGTCATCTGGCCAGTTGTTGGGTATGTTTTTCAACCATGTCTTGTTTTGCAGGGCAGCGTTGACTTCTGGAACATAAAACGCAGACCGTCCTGACAGCTGCAGATCAGATGAATATCGCCAACGGTTGAAAGCTCTGTCGATTACATCCATCGCCTGGTCCGCAAAGGTATTTTGGTTTTGACCAGAAAGTTCCGCTCGGTCTACTCCAGCAATACCAGGCCTAAAGCCATCATTCAATTCCATAGTGAGACCAGAGAGTGGCAAAGCAATAAAGGGAAGAAGGCTGACAATGGCAAGTACAAACCAGGTCGGGGATGGCCGAATTTTGAAGTTCCCCTTGATAGTTGTCATGGCGATTTTCATCCATCCGCTTGGGCCACTCCAAGTCTGCAGTGGTGAAATGGTCAACACGATTCCCCTTGAAACTGATGGAAAAACTCGTACTGACCTTGTCGCAGTGCATTATCAACTGCATTGCATTTCGAGCCGCCCATCTTCTGTTCATCAACATGCCCGCCTCCACCCCAGCAAGCCCGTATTTGGATAGATTGATCCCAACTGCGCTCAAGATGAACCAGCTATAATAGACCCATCTTGCACCTTTCGTACCATGGTTGACTGGAGAGTCGTAGTCATAAGACTGCAGCCAATAATGCCATGTGATGGCATAGTAGATTGTCAAAAGTGGTGGAACAAGAATGCAACAGAGCGTCCGCCCCCAAAATATGCGCAAAGGATCTCCCAGTCCAGTGTCCTTGGTTTCCTCCGAAGCTCTGAACTAGGTTAATGAGGCGTCCACAGTCAGAGTTGCCTAAGGTTGGGACAGCAACACACCCACCATGGATCAGGGAACTTTGAGATGCTGCCAGCCCCTGAAGCTCATATTCTTCTTCTCGTTTTGGTGGTGTCAACCGAGTATGAACATTCATTATACCCTTCATGGTGCTTGCCTGGGAGACCACAGTCCTCCGCCTGTCCAACCCGACAGTATTTCTTGGTTGAGATTGCTCATGTCCGAAGAGGATAACTTATTACATGTTCTAACAGGACCCTGTATATGTTAGTGGGGGCGAAATGCTATTATCGCGCTACCGAAGCCTGGATTGAATTCATGGCAGGGGCTTACGCAGTAATCAAAATTAGCCTCTGGTGCTCCTAGCAATGCCACTCTCAGCCTCATTGCTAAGACCACGTGAACGAAGAAGATGTCATCCAAAAAGTGGTAAACTATGTTTCAGCATTAGCGCCATAGCATACCCATGAACAATCGAGAGATCCGCTTAGACAGTAAGGGAGAAAGGAAAGCTACTCCGGTAAAGTGATTACCCACTGACCTGCTGACTCATCTGCCGGGAGGAGGAGCCGGCTTACGCGTCGAACTACGGAGATTACGGAGTACGAGTTGGTAGTTAACTAAATTAAGTAGCGGATCAGGTTGCGGTCCAATGATCTGATAAGATCAAAAATAGATCCTCAGCTTCTGTAATGGGACGAGTATAACTGACATTCCCAAACCTCCTCCTCAGACATAAGGCTTGAACCACTTCAATCAAGATCATAACACCATGAAATCCGTCATACAACGCACAAGAGCCTTTCTCACCCCCAGCACCTCCTCCACCAACCTCTCCAAATCTTCCTCCGCACAACCCTCCCCACCATCAACTCCGGCATCCTCCCTACCCTCCTCCCCATACATCTTCCCTCCCGTCTCGTCTGACTCCACCGACGACCCCAACTGCCTCCACGACTGCTCAACCTGCACGATCCATTACCCGTCTAAATGGAGCATCAACGAATCCGACGCCCTCTACGGCCACATCAGGGGCTGGGCCACCCACCTCCTCGTTGCGACGGGAAGGACAGACTGGGTGAGGGATATTGCGGATGAAAAGGGCAGTGTAATGAGAGCGGTAGGGAAGCATGGGACGGACTTGGAGAATGGGAGGTGCATGGTTAGTGCTTGCAACATGCCGGTCCCGGATTATGATTGTCATGGTAGAAGGGATGGCGAGATAATTGGAAACAGGCTAAAGAATGAGCAAGGCCAGACAGAGGTTTTGGTGCTGCCGAAGTGGGAGATTGTTGAGGACGTGAGGCCGAGCGGTGTTGCGGAGTTTATGGAAGGCTATGTCGCCCGGCAGGCGTCAAGCATGAGTCCTATCTCGGTGGATCCTTCAAGCAAACCGACGAAAGACGGAGAGGAGCATGATCGAACAGCGCAAAATCCTTCTCCACAACCACCATCAATACCCTCCTTAAGTCCAACTGCGGCCGGCTCATTATCCTTCCCTTCCCAAGTCCAACAATACAGAACCACCAACTTCAAGACACGACCCTGCCCCCACGCCTACCTAATCCTTTTAGGCTCCCAAAAGCCCCGCGACGCGCGCTGCGGCCAATCCGCACCGCTTCTTCGTCGCGAATTCGAACGTCACCTCCGTCCATTGGGCCTATACCGCGATATACACGATGAGCGACCAGGCGGGGTGGGGATATATTTCATCAGTCACGTGGGCGGACATAAATATTCGGCTAATGTGATGGTTTATCGAAGGAGCGGGAGTGAGCTCGAAGAAAAGGACGATAATAGTATGACAGCCGGGGAGGAGATGGACGAGGAGACGAGCTTAGCGAGGAATCGCACGGATAGGGCTGTAATAGAGAAGAACGCGGCAAGCACAGGGGAGGCAATGCAATGCATATGGTTGGCGAGAGTTAGGCCGGAAGACTGTGAGGCTATCATCAAGTATACGGTTCTGCAGGGGAAGGTGGTGAAGCCGGAGAGACAATTGAGGGGTGGCTTTGACAGGACGAAAGGACTGACTAGTTGGTGAAAGGAAACGGCTTTGGAGATGGGTATCATCTGCACTGGGCTTAAATATTATTGCCAACATATAATGTTCTCCGGCCAAGGGACATATACAATATGCTCGGTGTTGAAACGTACCTTACCCTTCAGATCGTGCAACTGGATCAATTGTCAACGACCCCTTCGAGCCGGAATCTTCTAAGATATAGAAGCAAATCCGCGGTGTAGGGCAGAAGGTTGATGCTTCGAAGACTGCTGTTGTTCCCGCCGATCCTTTGCAGTAAGCGTTGCCAATACCTCTCTTGTGGCAATCTCCAGTTGCACGACCGATTGTGCGGCCACTTCCAACTGCCCCTCGAATTCAAGTATACCCTTCATGACCTCTGGCGACTGCAGAATCCTTCGCATTGTCGGCTTAGTAAAATCATTCCCCACTCGTTTCATCGCCACCATCCATTTCTTGTATCTTGTGGCATGGGTCATGATGGTGTTATACAGCATGTCCAGCTTTTCGAGAAGCGCCTCATTGTAGCCCTGTGAGCGAGGAATAGCCAGGAACGGTCGGTACACGCATGCATCATAAATATGACACAGCTGATCCCACAGATCGAGCTCCAATTGCGAAGGCATTGTGGTACAACTGGTTTATATTAGCCTCAGATAACATTTACTTAGTGCCGCGAGGTCTCACTCGATGATGAGTTCAGCCATCTGCTTGTAATTTGTCCACAGATCCTTCAGTGCTGGCCGGATCGTGAAAGGAGCAAGTTGGAGAATAGTTTGAATATCATCAATCTCCATGTCAACTGCGATCCCGGCCCGGCTCAACACAGAGATCAACCAGTCTGCAATGGAGTTGATGTGCCAGAGATTTTCGGGCTCGGTCGAGACCTCTCCGGTGGTAGTGAATAAGATCGAACCCATACTTAAGATGGCAGACTTGATCTCTGTAAACAGTTCTGCCGCACGTTCTGGTATCTCATGTGACCTCCGAGTGAGATCAAAGTGTACGCTGAGCTCCTCCACTTCTCCATCGTTCGCAGCGATCGCAAGATCAGGAAATGGAATGCTGTCTGACGGACCAAGAGGCGAGCTTGCGGGAGATTCGTAGTAGGTTGAGTTAGATGGTGGCGAGCTGTCGAGTTGTGCTGATTGTGGTGATGAATCGGGTGAGCTAGCAGTGATGGAAGCGAGTAGTGGTTCTGCATAGTCTCCACCTTCAAGATTGACATCTAATTGCTCCATCTCTGGATATCTGAGGTACAAAGAGAATAGATCACGATCAGTCAAGGCCAGATCATCGTTGGTACATCCTATGGAAGAACGTTCAGGCATGATCTGTATCTGCGCAAAACAGGGTTCGAGCTTCGAGGCACAGCTGGTGAATGGAGAACACAATAGCTTGCACACAGCTGATGCAAAGTGAAGTCACTGTAACACTCACCTTGTTAGAAATCACATTTGGTCAATCATGATCAGTAAAGAAGGAGCAACTTGGATAGCTGCAAATCCTCAAACTTCATGAGCCAGGAAGGTGTCTTGCACGAATTTACCAGCCACGGTCACCACGAAATGTAAAGATGTGAAAATGTGGATTCCTGACACAGCTGCTGATAATATCTCAAATATTACAAGGCACAAGCATGACGCTGTACACTTGAGAAGTTTGAGAAACTGAATCTTCGCGCACTGACTAATTGGCACACTATTGGTGGAAGCTGTGACAACTCAAAGTTTGGGCGAGCAGAGGATGCTGAGGAGTAGTGGCGACAGATGAGATGAAAATTAGACAAATGTAGCATCACAGAATGGAAGACAGACATTCTTCTTTCACCCAACCAAGCTTTTCATTCATCTAGATTGGCGAAAGACCACCCCGGAGGGTGAAAAGCACCAGGAATAGCTGATGCAGCACGGTAGGTAGCAGTGGTCTTCGCAGGGAGAGTGCTGGCTGAAGTTGATGTCGCTGCTGACCTGTCCTCATTTGGCGGTCGATGTTGGTGTGCATCCTCCATAGCGACACTGTCCTCGGATTCATCAGGCAACGTCCCTGTCCCAGAGTTAACGGTAGTTGGCTTGGTCTGAGGTATTGGTGGCTTGATATCGTCATCGTCGTCATGGGGCACCTCCTTGATATGAAATGCTGCCTTCTCAAGGAACCATCTCGTTAGGGAGTTCATTGCCTTGAACACCGTGTAAAGAAAGGTCATCACTCCAATAACGAGAACAACCCAGCTAATATTAGCGACTCGTTCTTGACCGGTTGCCCCAGGTCTGGTGGTGCCGTGTGCAAGACCAGAATTCCGGAGATTGTACCAATGCCATGGATTGGCCATGAAGATTACTCTTGCAAAAGACAATACGCCCAATGATGCCAGACCCTTGTAGAAGTGCTGCAGCCATGAACTCTCCTCTCCAACATCACTGACCTTGATCGGTGTCCACAGTCGACTTGTTGACGTAGCACTATATGGATCGATGTAAAGATTGATAATCGGATCGGCAATATAGCCGAAGATAAAAACCAGCACTAAAGCTACTGTTGCTGTAATAGCAAAGTGTGCAGCAGGATTCTCCAGCAGCCTTGCCCATCCCAAGCGACTGAACTGGTATCGGTAATGACATATATTGCATTCCCAGAAATGCTTCCTCTGTGCAGCGTTCTTTCGCCATGCTTCAAGGCATCCTTCATGGATGTAGCGTGCACTTCCTGTGCATTTGCAAGGAGATATTAACTGTCCAAGCGACGGATCGTCTGCCGAGTAGTATTTGATTCGAGCATTATTGGAAGCTGATCCCGGCGGCGGAAGCTCGACTGTTGCCTCACATTCCTCGAAACATAGCCGGCATTGCCGGGTAGGGTATGTCCACTGTGGGGGAGTCTCTTCCGTCGTTGATGCCATATTTGAACAGGGTGCGAGGATTCTCAGCAGGTTATCAACCAGTATCGATCATGCAAGTATGTAGGTGCTGCCAGAGCAGCTCGAGGTAGTGGATCATTGCAGACGCAACGAAGAACTGACTACAAAGGACATCTCGGAAATGTTTGGAAGTGTGAGCTTTGTCATGAAACAAAATTCCAGCCGGGGCCAGATCGCCAGGGGGATGGGGACGGGGACTCTACGGGGACTCTTCGGGGACTCTTCGGGGACTCTTTGGGGACTCTTTACTTAGTGGTCGAAAATACTTGGCGTTCATAAGTAGCACCCAGTGCGCAGAATCTGGATCTTGGATAGATGAATGCATCCCTCAATTTGGACCATGGTATCGAGATATGAGCAACAGTCCCAGATGACGAACTTGCATTCATGGGCAGCATAGTATCGACACAGTATACGGACAGTATGCCTCTAATGCATCCTCCAAGATGCACCATATAGCCTCCCCGACATGCGAGCGATTCGTCCGCTCCTTTTCCGTATCTTCTACAGCACTTCATTCACCGTCGTCTTCCTTCTAGTCCTCACGCTCGTCGCCCTCACTCCCGCAGATGCCGTCTATCAAGCCCGGCAGCAGCGCCGGCAGTGGGATATTGGTGCTATCGCGGGGACCTATATCTTGACTGCACTTCTTGCGATCTTGATATACGCATCCAGACTCTACACCAATCGTAGTATCGTACAGGGTATTCCTAAGACCTACATACCAATTGAAAAAGAAGATCTGCCTGGAAAGCTTACGAGGGAAGAGATTGTGGAGGGACTGGAGAGAAGTGCTATCATCGCGTACAAAGCACGGCCACGATTCGACAGAGTTGAGGATGATTCTCCAATGGCAAACGCAAGGATCTCTGCGATCACTCGCTTGGATACGAAGAAGAACGAGATTCAGCAAATATGGGGACACATTGCTCATCCTGGGTGGTCGTCTCCTGCCTCTCCAGATCTGCCAAATCTCCACTATGACACCGTTATTGCAGAGCTACCCAATTTGATTGAAGCCAAGGCAGTATCTCTTGCTCCCATTGAACCCCATTCAACGCCTCATCCTGTGGAGATACCACTGCCAGATGAGCGCGTTGTCGAGATATTGCAGAGACCGCTCAACATGGGCTTGAGAGAATACATAGCCTATCTAGACTCCCTTGGACTAATCAGCCCCCCTGATCTCGGAGCAAGTTTCCTAACTTTCTACGAGCGCGCACGCTTCTCCACAAAGCCTCTGACCGAGTTCGAGTTCCGTTCCCTTATGAGCATCTTCGCCTCCATCCTCCGAGGCATGACCAAGCTGGACCGGGACCTTCTCGCAGAACTGCAAGAGCCGGACCAGAACGACACACCAACTTGGCAAACACCAGGACGATGGTCCCCAAAATCCGCATCCACATTCTCCGTCGACGGGACAGGCAGCATCCGTCATCATCACCCGCACCCACCGCGTCGTGTAAGCGAAGACTCCGTCCCTTCGCTCCCAACCGAAGATGATGAAGACGATTATGACAAAGAGGACAACGACACTTTGTCCCTCCGTACAGCTCCGTTCTCCCAACCCCATGCTGATAACGGGTTATCAAAGCAACCACCACGTACTCGCTTGGGCATTACTTCACCAAACATAGCAACCGCCCCCGCAAACCTGTCACTCCGCCAAACCCGCTCCAACACCTCTGCCGTATCACGGTCCTCCATGAGATCAGCCGGCAGTGTAATCAGATTAGTCGAGGCCAGGACGGCGTTGGATCTACCTTATCGGATTGAGATACCCCAGGTTCTGGATAGTTCACCAGAGCAAAGGTGAAGAGAGCTTGTATTGGGGGAAGGAATTGAGGATGGGAGCACTTCAATGATTTAGTGATGTTAATAACTATTCGTTTCGTCTGCACCGCATAGCGAACGGCGCGCTAGGAGCAACTAGAGAACATGTGCTTGGTTGTTGGATAAACTGGACCGCATGGCATGGTAGCCCGGGCGTATTGGGACCCGCCATTTTTTGTACTATACGATTCTTCCCACCAACAGAGTTGGCGGCTCTCTTGTTACTTTTGCAAAGCCCAAGGCCCATTGATAGAGTCGGTGTCACTCCTCTGTGCCCAAACATTTACCAGATGCCACACCAATCTTGTCAATCGGTCTTAGCGTACTATATTCCCTATTTTCCAAATAACATGCCAGGATAAGATGACACACGGAAAAGCAAAGAAATCTCAATGCGCACCAAGATCACGTACCGAGAAAGCCAAAAGCAATAGCATGGACGTGGGTATGGAGATATACATTCCAACGTTGTAATTTAAGACCACATCTAAAGACCGCGTCACGCATTGCTTGACGCCGCTGCAATGCACTTGGACGATAAGTTCTAAAGCAAGCTTGACAGGACTACAGATTGGTAAGGTAATCTTCAATCTCCTCCTTGCTCAACTTCCTGAAGCGGGGCCCTTGCGCGCCTTCGACGCCTTCGTAGCCCAGGAGATGGTTTGCCGGTGGGCCGACGATACCTGCGGGTCGGATACAGGTTAGCCAAATATTCTCAACCTTGAAGGGTCCGAGTGGGAAGGGGCGAGCATACCGATTTCGACCGTCTCGCCATTCATCTCCCCCTCGATCGTCTCCTTCAACGTCAACAGCGCAATATGCACTGCATCCTCCAACTCTAACCCATCTGTATACCGCTTCTCTAAGAAGGTCTTCGCGCTCGTAGCACTCTTCCCGATCGCGGTAGCCTTCCAAGGAAAATAACTCCCGCTAGGATCGACCTGATACAGACTCGGCCCGCCCTTGAGGATCCCCCCAGTCTTGCTGGACGCCTTCCTCTTCTCGGCATCCGTCTCCCCTACCTTGGCCTCCTCGGTCTCGGGCTCGATCCCGTCATCCCACCCCGCGATCAAAAGGCTGACGCCATAGGGCCTCACCCCCCCAGATTGCGTAGCTTCCTGCATAACGCGCGCGACGTCTTGGACTAATATCCGTGTGGGCGGGTATTCGTTGTAGATTCGCTTGTAGCCCGTGTGCGAGACTTTGCGGGATTTGTCCACCAGGATGCGGTAGTCGGGGCCCATGCCGGAGTAGACCATGCCGATGTTGGGGGTGATTAGGGAGACTTTGGAGAGGGAAGGTGGGTCAATGAGTGGGGAAGAGGATTTCTTTTCCGTCGCAAGCACGATGCCGTTTGTTGCTGTTGGCGGATTTAGACCTGCGAAAGGGAGAAGGAGGGTTGAGGCAGCACCTTTGATACCCAGCGAGGTAACGCCTTGGTTCACAGCATTTAGCGCATACTCTTCGATATTGTCAGTCACGCTTCGGACAGCTTGAAGAGCGCATCTCCGGAGAGCCTACCTATCTGAACGAGTTTTCCACTAGATAATGTCAGTCTAGATATAGATATGTAAATAATCCAGTGACGAACCTGGGTGAGAATGTTGTGAGCGAGAATGAATATCTGTCAGCCATGATTTATTGGCTGCAGATGATGGAGAACGGGATCACGGCGACAGTGTGATTAGAGAGGGGACAGCAGTGTAAGCACCTTGACTTTTCTGTGCTGTATCATCAACCTGGTCAACACAATGATAGCTGTATCTTGTTGGTGTTGTACGAACAGAATTCGAGGCTACAGCTTGAGTACGAGTACGCGGTTTACAGAGCACAGCTTCAACCCTTGAAGTCACTAACCAAGGTGAGCTAGAACACTATTTAGCGTACTTCCTACTAGTTACTCTGTACTAGTAACTACCACGTTATCGTACAGGTCCTCCGGTCCCGAGGACTACAGTATGTGTCGAGGACTCAACATCCACAACCACCTGAACCACTTCAGTCACAGGTCAATGTGGTGCCGGATGTCGATATAGTTGTCCACTCGAGTAGATTGATCATTAGTTCTGGAGCAGAATACACTATTTTTGAATTGCAACCGCTTCTAGTATGCCAAAGCTGGCACAAACGGCCCCACCGGTCAGAATGCATCATCCCTTTGTTATAAATTCCTCCTTGATCTATGCTGCCCTACTTCAGCATCGAACAATTCAGCAGATGCGGGCTGATGCAAACAAGCCGTGGAGGCTCGCAGCGAGACAAGTACCAAGCTGTTTGGGTACCCCACTATTGATTCTCTTCTTCTTCTTCTTCTTCTTCTTCTTCTTCTTCTTCTTCTTCTTCTTCTTCTTCTTCTTCTTCTTCTTCTTCTTCTTCTTCTTCTTCTTCTTCTTCTTCTTCTTCTTCTTCTTCTTCTTCTTCTTCTTCTTCTTCTTCTTCTTCTTCTTCTTCTTCTTCTTCTTCTTCTTCTTCTTCTTCTTCTTCTTCTTCTTCTTCTTCTTCTTCTTCTTCTTCTTCTTCTTCTTCTTCTTCTTCTTCTTCTTCTTCTTCTTCTTCTTCTTCTTCTTCTTCTTCTTCTTCTTCTTCTTCTTCTTCTTCTTCTTCTTCTTCTTCTTCTTCTTCTTCTTCTTCTTCTTCTTCTTCTTCTTCTTCTTCTTCTTCTTCTTCTTCTTCTTCTTCTTCTTCTTCTTCTTCTTCTTCTTCTTCTTCTTCTTCTTCTTCTTCTTCTTCTTCTTCTTCTTCTTCTTCTTCTTCTTCTTCTTCTTCTTCTTCTTCTTCTTCTTCTTCTTCTTCTTCTTCTTCTTCTTCTTCTTCTTCTTCTTCTTCTTCTTCTTCGAAGTCCCGTCGTGGAATTGCTTCGTGAATTATGTTTCGAACTCGCTTCACGGGTTCTCTTTCCAAAGTTGTATCTTCGACTTCGCTTCTCACCTTGGCACACCCCTCTGCCAGCACATTTGATGAGACATGGCGAGCAGGCAAGCCATCGCGTTCAGCGGTAAGTGCGATCAAATGGCTTTTCGCTACGATTCCGAAAGTTAGGCTTTGCCTCTCATGGGTCTGCATTCCTCTCTGAAGACGGAAGTTGGGTATGCAGAACCCCACGCGGCTATAATTATTTGGCAGATGGTGGAGGCTCCCGAGACGGTGATGAGCAGTTGTATTTACCCCTCCACATCAGCCAATCCTCTCATCCGCTGGGTGCCAATGGCTCGCCACTGAGCGAGCTGCAGTACAGAAGGATTTCGCCAACAGAGCCAGTAGCAATCTTATCGGCATGGGTCTCCCGCCAATCCAGGAAGGCATCATTTACTGCCTCGTCACTGTCAATCCATATGTAATCTCCATCTTCATCCTTATACCTCAAACGAACAGAGCCGCCCCCAATAGAAGCTTGGGTAAAGCGTGCCAATTTAGCGTCAATACGATCAGTCAGAGACCTGAACTGAATGTTGCTTGCAATGACCAGTGTGATATAGTTGCTGTCGAAGCAGACCTTGGCCTTAAGCTGGCTTGGCATAAAAGGCTCTCCATCACTCGACGGGGTGGAGAGGGGTGGAGAAAGGTTTCGATCCCGATCTGTCGAGATTGATGAGCCCGGAGTGAGATTAGAGATCACGAGGCGCGGATCAGCTTTACTGTTATAAGATGAGTCGTAAGTGTAGTGGTTGGTCATCTGTGGTCGTGGTCCAGGTGGTAAGCCGTACTGGTGGCCATTTGCTGAAGGAGTGTTCGCTCTGGGCGGCATTCCTGTCGGCGAATTACTCATGCTCCGATTGACAGGGGCCACTCTGCCCGCAACATGTGCCGGTATCGCGGGCATCGTAGGAACATCGCTACCATTCGGTACCACATGACCATTCGGTAGGCGGCGTTGCGGGTTCATGAAGTCAGGGCTGCTCGCAGATCGCATGCGATTTATGCCATTAGCGAGCTGTTGAGCGGTGGGTGGGCCAGTCGAGACAGGCGGTAGTGACGGTCGCAAACGTGGATCACGACCATTCACTTGATATGGATTTGCTCCACGATTTGCTCGAGACATAGCAGGAGCAGTGTTTCGGTTTGTTGGCTCCTCGCCATTCGACCAGCCAGTCGAAGGTGTCCCATACCTATCGTAGCCAGCAAATGCAGACTGAGAGCTTGAGCGAGCAGACGCAGTCATGGGTGTTGCCGCCTCCCTGTCGATGGGGGAGAAGTACGACGTTCCGGCTCTTTCGGATGGCGAGTTCTGGAATGAAGTATTGAGTGGCGGTAAGGAAGAAGGATCAGGCATTGGGAAGCGTGCCGGCCTAGTCGAAGTGGAAGGATGTGTGTGATGCATGCCTCCACTTGTATTGGTCGTTGAAGACGACCGAAGGCTCAGACTCGAGGCATTGCGACTCATTGAAAACTCAGAGTAGTTTCCATTCTCGTGCCCGAAATATGCAGGCTGCATGGCTCGGTTGTAGTCATCCTCATCGAGTTCGTATTCCTGGTGTGGATTCTCCATGTGAATTCCTCGTAGGGAAGTGAATTGTGTTTCGGAGGTGCCATTGGCCCTGGTAGCTCTTCCATTCTCGGCGCATACAGCTCGTTGTGTTTCGATTTCTCGATTCCATCTCAGCATGGTATCCTCATTTTTAAATTTGATTATAAAGTGTTCAACTCCTGGGTCTCCTCTCCAAAAGATTTGAATAGTATAGTTTCCTAACCCACCATTAATACTGGCATGGTTCCCATTCTGATGCGAGAGATGTGCCTACCTGGGCCTGATGCCGTCAAAATATGTGTCACATTTGCTAGGAAGATGCGGCCCTTGAGTTGCAGACGTGGCTGACCCTTGGCTGTCACTGAGAGTTTCTCCTTGCTACCCATATACTTCGACTTTTGTTTGTTGAGATTGATGTCCTTGCAGCATAACAGAATTCTTTCGAAAAGGTAGATATGATACTGCTTCGATTAGTGAGCATCCACGGCCGCATGTTGGGGCAACACACCTCTTTTTCCTGATCTTTGCTGCCTCCATCGCCTTTGAGCACAGTAAAGGTCCCGAAAAGCATCAATTCGCCAAACGTCTTCAGATTCAGAGATTTCCATTCCTCAACACGTTCATCCAGATCCACTAATGCGTTTTGTCTTGTTTCCTTGTCGATCGCGGCATTGGCTTCCTGAAGTACATCTTGAATGATCTCAACAGCATCTGAAAGATCTGCTCGCAACCTTTCGTCCTCGGCCTGACTAGAAAGATCCTAAGAAGATCAGCAAGGGCACAGAAATGATTTCAAAGGGCGTGAGCTTACCTTGAGAAGCAACGGATATTTGGTCAACCGCTGGAACGGCTTCAGTAGGAAACCGCTCAGAATGGTCGGATCTGCCAGCATCTGATCCATCAGTGGTGACCTGCCTATCTTTTTCATCTTATCCCATTCTTTTTGGCATGTCTTTTCGCATCGAAGCTGATTCGCAATGAACGGCTCATACTGCCGAAAGGGCTCCTTGTAATGTTTGAATAGATCACCCCAATTTTGTTTCTCCTCTGGAAGTTCGTTATGTTGTTCAATACGAATGAGAAATCGTTGAGCGAAGTCCAGCAAGTTATTCAAGTTCAGAAAAATTGAATGTATCGAGTCACCCGTCAAAGCTCCACATTCTTCTAACTCTTTCTTTAACAGCTGTAGGTTCAAGAGGTGGTGAACGTATTGCCTTTCTGTCTCTACCAGTTCTTTCAAGATATGTTGTCTGCGCGTCAGCTGCTTCGGAGGTGCTCCATTCGCTTGCACATCGTTGGGTTCGTCACTGGCTGTAGTGCTCTCGGATGACGGATAGAGCTTCCCACTCAAACTGAGAATGTCGAGAACACGATTGACTTGTTTGGTTACCTTTACAAACCCAGTTGTATTATCCCCGTACAGATCGTTCAGGGAGAATATGTCAGAAGCCGGGATAGACATCTGTGTCTTGCAAGCAACATTAAATCTGTATGCCGCTTGCTTCCCCATTCTAAGATCGGAATTCGATGGGTCCACCGTCAAATCTCCATCCTCCGGTTGCGACGCATTGTAGATAGTGAGAAGAGGCAGACCGTTCCTGAAACATCTCCATAACGAGGACACCGGATCCGCGCCCTCTGCCTCCTCAGTCGCCATTTGTTCAAGATATGGCCGAAAATTTGGTACCTCCGATAACCTTTTCCTCAACTTGAGACAAATTTGGTATAGTGATTCTCCATCTCTCTGATTGATAATGTTATTCCTGTCGAGCATCGGCAAGTTCTCACCCACTGGCGAAGGATTCATGGTGGCCAGCATCCCCGTGACAATCGTAGAGGTGTGACTGAGCGGGTTATCCAAGTGACATGAGTGTGAAGATGGAATTGGCGCTTGGCGATAGGTAAGTTAAGGCGATGGGTAATTTGAGTCGAGCGAAAGGTTTCCGTCGTGCAATGGAATTGTGAAGCAGAATTCTGGCACAGTGTCTACCTTGAAACAAATCACTCCGCAGACTGAAGATTGCTATCGATAGCCTGCCGATACGGGACGTACCAGCCACCACCTAGTTAGAAGGATTATGGTCGCAGATTGATGAATCAGACCGCCAGGATAATTCCGCATTCGAGCCTGCAGAAGATTGCGACTTAGAGGATGTAGGAGATGATGATGAGAACCGATCAGGCGGAGAGTAGACGCGATACGGTCGAGGTCTGTCTCAGACACAGGGGTTAGAAGGTTGACACAGATTCTCGACTGCCTGTCAGAAGAGGCTAGTGGTCACGGCAAGGGAGGTGCAGGGATGCAACCACTCACAAAAACCCTAGGTTTCACAAGTGTCGACCACGAGAACAGATGATATGGTGAGAAAGGCCTGTGTTTGGGTTGACTCCAGGTTTTGTCGGCGACAGCTGATCTGGTGCTGCGGCATAGAAGGAATCAGAGTTGAATGGGAGAGTCTTCTGATCGGCTTTGGTGGGTTGACAGCCAATCGTGGGGCAAGGGGCAAATGTGACCGGCGGGAAAAGCAACCTAATTAATTTACTCAACGGGATAGTTGGGGATACGAATAGAAAAGAGAGAGGATAGGCAGAGAGGAACGAGTCTGTAACGGAGATGCAAGCAACAAGAAGGACTGCATCATTGTTTTACTGATCACATATTTGTACCCTTACCTTGCAGGGTAACTTAACGTAGTAGGGAGTGTTTTCGATCTTCAACTCTGGCTTGATTGGGGGGTTGTCTTTAAGTAGCTCAAGAGAGGGGGGCTTGTGGTTAGCATTTTGGTAGGGTTATCTTGCGGTGTGCACCCCGGAAGTTGTTAAGATCAGATAGCCCGTGTTAATGTTTAATGGGCGAGGTTGTCTTGGGGGCTACACTTTGTTAGTAAGGGCTGTAACTGGGATAGACCCCTCAAAATATGAGCTTCGGGGGCTCCGGAAGATAAATTTAGAGGCCATCTCTACGTAGTAGTACATACGTACTAGTAGTGGTAAGGACTAATTTAACCTCATTCTGAATAGCACTCGGTAGTCAAGGATCGCCAGAGATCTCCATTGCAGAATGTTTGACAGACAAGTTCTTGCAGGGTAATGGTCGCTACATCCGAAGCTGGGGTAGCCAAGCTTCTGTTTCTGCAACAGACCAACCACATGGATGTCATCTAGCGCGTTTGCCACGCCTGTTTGCCTACGGAGTAATCCGCAGCTACCTACGTAGTACGGAGTACTATCCAGGACGATGAGGCCGATGGAAGTGAACCCGCATGAGCATACCAATGACATCTTCCCTTCATATCCAGAGCTTACCTCAAGCAACGCTTCAATTCTCTCATATCTATAAAGCTCACTACTCTCTTTCCAACTGTACGAATACTGCGTCATTCACGAATGTGACGACTTATCTACAAATCTATTAGAGCAAGGCTCGAATCTGTTGCTACTATTTGCACCGATCGCACAATCTATCCTCGACATGGGATTGACCTAAACGGAACAGAGAGGAAGAACTGCAGACAGAGAGCGTACTTCCCTTTCACCACAGAATCTCCGCTCGCCGCTCGCCATTCGCCATCATGGATGTGACTTCCCCTTACACCTCCGAGCCAGACATGCTCCGTGCAGCCTATTCCCAAGCTAGCGGTATGGCAGCTTTCAAGCTGGACGAAGGTTTCAGCGAGGATCCAAGGGGGCAAGATGACACCGATTTGGCCGCCACCACAGAAAACACTTCGTCCTTTGAAGAGTGGGTAATGGCGCAAAGCGAAGATACTAGAGCAGGTGAGTTCTCCGATGATTATTGCTTTATAGCGCAAGCTACAAACTAGTACGTCAATGTCGTGTTGGTACTGATAGCGCCTTCCATCTCTAGACATCGCCTACGAAGTACTACGCACCCTTCGAACAGCCAAGATAGCTGCGGTTGTTGACCGCTTGACACCACTCTTACATATGGACCCGGTTGGAAAGTTACCCCCCGAAATTACATCACAAATATTCTCTTATCTCGATGCTTCCACTTTACTTGTCGCTTCATTATCATCGCAAGCATGGCGAGCCAGAATTCTCGATCCTCGGCTCTGGAGACGACTATACTCTGATCAGGGCTGGGGTCTCAATTCCACTGCCGTAAGGGCGTTTGAAGAAAGGAATGCACGAGTGGCACGACAGGACTTCCATAAGCCAAGCTCAACATTTAGAGCTTCTGAGACAGATCACGGTCAACCATTACAGAAGAAGCGTGCAACCACTGTCTCTGTTGATCAGCAGACCAAAGAGACAATATCTGGAGATGTGTCCCAATGGCGTGAACAGCATGGAGTTATTGAGGCTGATTCGGATGTGCCGACCAGGACGTTACCAGCAGAGTTTGACCATGAAATGCAGGACGTTTCTCCCACCGATTCGTCCCATCCAGCCTCGCCTCCTCGCCGCAATAAACGTGGCAGCCAAGAGACGGGAGATGAGATGGCTATGTCTCCCATACGAAGACAAGATTCCATCGTGCAACCCTTACAAACACTAAACCCACCTGTCAAGCCGCCACTGAGCCTGCGGGATCTTTCTGGGCACGAAAGGATCAACTGGGCATTCCTCTACAAACAGCGGAGACGACTGGAAGATAATTGGAACAAAGGGCGTTTCACGAACTTTCAACTGCCTCACCCTGCCTATCCACATGAGGCTCATCGAGAGTGTGTATATACCATTCAGTTCTTCGGCAAATGGCTGGTTAGTGGAAGTCGAGATAAAACCCTTCGTGTATGGGACCTCGAGACACGAAGATTGCGAGGCGCACCACTAACAGGACATACACAATCTGTTCTCTGCCTGCAATTTGACCCGACAGAGAAAGAGGATGTTATTATATCTGGCAGCAGTGACAGCAATATCATTGTTTGGAGGTTTTCAACAGGACAGAAAGTGAAGGAGATTCAGCAAGCTCATCGAGATCCAGTATTAAATCTTCGCTTTGATCATCGGTACTTGGTGACTTGCTCAAAAGACAAGCTGATCAAGGTTTGGAATCGATATGAACTATCACCACTAGACAAAGACTATCCGAAGGTCAGCCCTGCCAGCACGGCCAAGATGCCTACATACATCATTGATACTTCATCAATGAGCCCACAGCAGTTGGAAAATAAACTTGCAAATCGGCAGATCAGGATATTGCAGCCATATTCGTTGTTGATGTCGCTCGATGGTCATAACGCCGCTGTTAATGCAATTCAAATAGATCAGGACCAAATTGTATCAGCGTCTGGAGACCGCCTGATCAAGGTATGGAGTGTCATTGATGGTCGCTTGATCAATACTTTGCCCGGTCATCAGAAGGGCATTGCTTGCGTCCAATTCGACAGCAAGCGGATCGTCAGTGGCAGCAGTGACAATACTGTTCGCATCTACGACCATATCAAGAAATGCGAGGTTGCTGTCCTCCGTGGGCATACCAATCTAGTCCGTACAGTACAGGCTGGGTTCGGCGACCTGCCTCACAGCGAGAAGGCAATGGCCAATCAAGCACGGCTTGCTGAGGCCGAGTATCGACGGGCAGTTGCAGCAGGTGAGATTGTTCATGAGCCCATCGGTGCAGGTCGATCTGCTCGTGATCAACAAGCCTCAGTAAAGACCCCAGCACAATATCTGACGGCATTTGGGGCAGCATTACCTCCTGGTGGTGGCGGTAGTCAGTGGGGCAGGATTGTTTCTGGATCATACGATGAGACGATCATCATCTGGAAGAAAGACGCCGATGGCAGATGGATTCAAGGCCAGACACTTCGTCAAGAAGCTGCTATTCGAGCCGGTGCAGCCGCCGACCTGAGGGCATATAACGAGGGTCAAATTGATGCAGGAGGAGCACCTGCTCCACAAGCTGCTAACTCGTCAGTGTCTCATGCTGCCAGTCTTCCAGCTCAACCGTCTGCCGCTCAGATCGTCCACCATACCATGCAGTCTTCCACCATAGGGCTACAAAGTATTAGCGACCACATCACAAACTTGATGGGCCAGTCCCTCAGTACCATGCAGAGCCTAGCTCGCACCAATCTTGGAGGCTCACAGTTCTCTTCCATGGCTCCTGGTGCTCAACAGGCATTGGCCCAGTTGAATGCCCATCAACAAAATATCCAAAACCATTTCTCGAATCTGTCGCAAGCCGGCGCCTCTCACACAGTACAAGCAGGACCTTCTGTAAGCACCAGTACAGCTCAGAGCAACTCTCAGCATGCTGCCAACATCCCGGCTGCTGGTGTCAATATCGGGCAGAACCCGAACATTGGCCAGCCTTCTGTGGCGTTAGCCCATAACATCATTCCACCTATTCCACCTATTCCATCAATTCCATCAATTCCATCAATTCCATCAATTCCATCAATTCCATCAATTCCTCCACAAGCATTGGTACAACCACATGTAGCCACTCATCATCATCATCATCACCATGCTCCACCTGCCAATCAGCAACCTCAACCCCCGCAACAGCCTGCTTCACGGGTCTTCAAGCTACAATTCGACGCTCGACGGATCGTATGTTGTAGTCAGGATCCGAGGATTGTCGGGTGGGACTTTGCAGCTGGAGATACGGATATAATGGAGGCGAGTCAGTTCTTTTTGGGGCCATAGAAGGCAGATTGTCAACTTCTGCATTGGTAACGCATGCGGGTGGCCTGTTGGGTGATCCAGGGGTTTCAGAGGCTGGGGCTTTCGAACGAGCATAGCGCGGCGTTTCAACATATACATTGCCATTTTATTTCTGTCGAGGCAGGCCTCTACTTCGCTTCACCCATGACAACCGATATCGTGTTCGACATCATCCTAAAAACATGATTACTCCTCTCTTTTCCTCATCTCCTCCTCCTTGTCCCTTACCATCCCATCAATCCTTTGAAACGATCCTACCCCTTCAATATAACAAGTCCCCACCCACTCCCACCACAACCGACTCCACCTCTCCACACCATGCCTCCTCAACCTCGTCCTAGCCATCCACACCACCTCACTAACATGAATCCCCAACATAGCCGTGATTAGCCATGGTTGGATTGTCGAGCAAAACCATGCGAAACTCGGCACGAAGCTCAGCCCCGACGTCTCGTAGAACAGCGATCCAGGTAAAAAATTTGCGCGGCGAGAAAATGAGAGCATGGTCAAGACAACGGTGAGGAAGTTGATTCGCTGAATCAGCGTGTCAGGGGGCCGGTACGTCGTTATTCTGACATCGGACAGGTCAAGACCGCGAAGACATTCGTTGTGCATTTCCTTCAGGCGCTGACGGGTCGCAGCAGAGGATGTGAGTGAGGACAGTGGGGGCTGGAAGGGAATGTGGTAGCGTTTTCCTTGGGAGGTGAGGATCAGGGAGTCCTGCTTTAGCGTTGCTAGGGTGGTGGAATCTGGGGTGGTGGAGTGCGCCGGCACATTGCAGTAGTGACGCAGGAAGAGGGAGAGGGAGTCTCGGTGCGAGGTGTTCATGTGTGTTGTTATGCGGGTCCTGATGGCTGTCTCGTCGTCGGATTGGGCTGGGGGTGGTTCCATTGTGAGGAGGTTGTGTGAATTTTTGGTTCAAGATGATTAGAAGATGGTTTTTCCAGACATCTGCTATTACGATCTTGGACAAGTGATAGTTGGGCTATCTCTAATGCTGGTCTTTAGAGATCCTCCTAGTAATGATGGTGTATCAATAAAAGATCTATATTTTTATAATTTTTTGGGCATTGGTTTCATACGATGATTGGCATATTGCAGTACTAGAATGTGACTGTATGAGAAACCGTATTGACCACAGTGCGAGGATGCTCAATTGGGTCTCGGAAGGGGAGAGTAGAAGTAGACTTCTTAAAATGCTGATCTTGCATTCTGTTCACAGTGGCATCAAGTTGATCAGTAGACGACTTTTTTGCCGTCTTCGGCAAATCTTCGGCCTTCGAAGATTTTGATTGGGCCTGAGGCCAACAAGAGAACAATTGTATTTTGTGAACCGATGCACGACTATTTGTACAGCAAGTATTCTCGAGGACTCTCTGGTTATGCAGCCTGTCTGATCTGAAGGCTTGGAAGTCGCCTCTTCTCCAGTTGCAGATATCTTAGTACACCATGAGATCGCTCGATCACGAGCATGCTTCTCCTGGAAAGCATCACGCCGTCCTTCAAGGAAGCGTTGCGCAAACCAAGGGATGAATATTCTCAAGAGCATCCCCGTTCTTCAGCTGTGATGAAAAGGCATGTAAGGAGATGCCTGGAGGCAACACCAGGGCCGTTCTTTACGCGGATCCCTTTCCATTGACGTTCGCTTTCCGGCTATGGCAAAGAAGTTGTCACTGTCCATGGTCCTGAATGCATCGATTATCTAGGAGAGTTTACGGCTGGCATATATGGCTGCAACCAAGAATCCATTCGCAAAGCAATTGATGGTGTTCTCGATAAAGGATGGAACCTCGGTGGACATAACGAAATGGAGCAAAAGCTTCCCAAAATAATCTGCCATAGATTTCCTTCAATGGAGAAAGTTCGCTTTGTGAACCCTGGAACCGGCGCAAATATGATGGCTTTAGGCACAGCCATCACCTATACCGAACATTCCAAAATTCTCATCTTCCACAAAGGATACCATGGGAGCACCATATCTGGTCATCAAACTGAGGGTAAGCCATCAATCAACCTGTCACATGATTTCGCGGTAGCGCCATATCATGTTGTGTAGGGAACGAAGAGGACTATTGACGAGCTGTCTTGTCACTCGCTGGCTGCCATCCTTGTTGTACCAATGCTAGGGCGTGGCAGCTGCTTCGTTGGGGAAAAGACGTTTTTGCTGTATCTGCGCAACTTGTTCGGAGCTCGGTGCTCTTCTTGTCCCGACGAAGTTATGACTAGTCGGCTCTCCTACTTCGGTATGGGCCTGATGGAGCCGATCATCCCTGACATAATGACTTTTGGGCAAAATGGTAGGTGGTGGACTGTCTTTGGGGGTGTTCTGTGGGCGAAAAGACATCATATGCTTATCGAATTCAGGATCTGGCCAGCTTGATCATCCAGGGACTTTCAATAACAATGTGCTAAGCATGAGCGCTGGTGTCGCAGGCTGCAGCTTGCTCAGCCAAAAGGTGCTTGACAAGCTGAACCGGAAGGGACAATTTATGACGCAAGATTGATAAGATGTTCACCACAAACGACATCAGTCGAACAACATCCTTGGGCCCAATCAGCGACGAAGCTTCTGTACATCATCTATGGTGCCTCTGAAAATGCTCTTAACTGGTGTAGGCAGTTTGATGAGCATTCACTTCACAGGTCCAGAAAAGCTGCTGCTGCACGGATTGTTCTGGCAAAATATGCTGCAATATACCTTGCTCAAAGTGTTGATCGGTTTGTAGGGGCTGTTGAAGACTTTTGCCAGAAGTGGACATGGTTTCTTATGAAGCCGTGACATCTGGACTGTCATGATGGTGATCCATGAGTCGTACGAGTCTGACCATCTGTTGCTCTAATTGAGTACAAGCGACAAGAGCACTACCGGCAGCTCGAAACTGGAATAATGGTCTTTATGAACATCCCTGAGCTGCTGGACTATGCTCTTACTCTACTTGCGTATAGCGCAACCAAGGCAGGAAATACTTCAACAAATACCAAACCAGGGGACAAACGTCCTGGACCCAAACCAGCTGTAGTCATGCCAATGTATTAGCAGAACCGCACAAGAAACACCAGTACACAAACGCAGTGTCTCCCTGTGATACCATCAAACACGATGTGAGTACATATTATCCTGCGCTCCCCAGTCAAGCTGTGCTGTACGGGATGTTGTTCTTGTTATCACAATTATGGATCTGTTGGAACTGGTTGCCTTTATCCTTCTTTTCATACTGATATTACGTCTTTCCGATTTCACATTTGAGCACGCAGCCAGGCTGCTTCGCCTATTCTAAGACATCCTGCTAGAGATATCTGGATCGTTCTTCGTGACCCGTGCTGTCAACGATCCACTGGTCACTGCACACCACCAGGCACACAGAGTCTGTCTGTCCGCATACTCGATAGTGTCACTTACCTACTTCATAAACACGCAACCACCCTTCTACCTCTCGGTAATATTCTAAAACTAGTCCCTCTATTCTGATAGCACTAACACACCTTTCCACAGTCCCCTCTTTCACCCCTTAGCTCGCCATTCGTACAGGTACATAGGAAGCTGCTGATACAAAGAAGATGTCACCAACATTTGTCTATGATGTCGAATCAGTCCCGATAGTGGCTGGTCTTGAGCCCAATTGCCAGTTTGGGGAAGACGAGCATGAGGATCCGAACCTAGCCGCAATAGCCAACCAGCTACCGGCGACTACATTCTGGGCTTTTTCATGGGAGTTCTTTTGCAAATTGCCCGAGCTGATCTTGCAAGGGTCGGGTATTGGAGGGTATGACTCGGTTTGGAGGTCAGGTGTAGGCAAACAAAAATAGAAGGGGATAGGGTCAGCACCTGGACCGGAAGAAGTTTATGTTGGTAAATGGTCAACAGTTCGAGGAGGACGACAATGCAATAGGTCTCGGTCAGGGTATGCTCATTCAAAATCCTGTCTTGAATGTCATTCACCCTAACAGTTCATGATGAGTACTTGCTAGACAGGAACTATACCAATACTGAACCAAGTGGTATTGTATGTTGTTCAGCAGGGCCATTGACTTGATCATTTTATTCATTGTAGTAATCCCACTAGAGCTGATCCATAGCATCTCAGATCATTATTCAAAATGACCACATTGCACACACCATGAGCCACCTAATTTTGAAGCCATGATAATCAATGTTGCAGTCCACTCCTCCCTTCCAAACAAGGCAGGCGTGGTGCGAGCAGATTTAATTCCTACATTCTTCACATCAGCATGAGCGACGATGAGAGGCAAGTAAGGCTCTGGCATCATGTGCCAGAATGGGAGAGGGGAAGACCGCGGGGAGAACTCACAGTAAGCCCAAGGTCAAGTCACCATGGATCTTTGCCTTCAATTGGATCTCAATATCCAAATTCAAGTCCAATCTCAGTCGCAACTGCTCGTTGGTACCCTCCTCCTCACCTCCCTTTTCTTCCTGGCCACCCTTCTTGCCGCCGAGGAGACCACCGACAGCTTCACCTGCCTTGCCTGTTGCACCACCCACCGCATCCCCGGCGGTGTTTTTCACGAGATCCTGCGCCCCGTCCGTCACACCACTGACGGTATCGGTTACGCCGTCCAGCGTCTCGCCAGCCTCGTCTACGGCGGGTAGGCCGCCACCGCTGCTGCTGCTGTTGCTGTCCTTTCCCACGATTGCGATTGCGGTTTCGTCGACCACCTTGCGCCTGTTCGGTGTCGCTCGGTGGCATGCTTTCTGAGCCGCTGTCTCTGCTCCGACCACGTCCTCGACTCTGTCGCCGCGACTGTGATCTCGGCTTCTCCTTGTCCATTTTCGGTTGAGGTTCTTCTTCTTTGGGTTCTTCACGTTCCTCACCACCGTCACCGTGGTCAATTCTTGTTTAGGAGCGTCTTCCTGCTTGGCGCCAGGCTTGGGTCCTAATTTCTTGGGCGTTTTCTTCTGCTGAGTCTCCTTCTTTGATGCTGAAGCTCCAATACCGCCAGAAGCAGCGGCTGAACCTGACGCGGCGGCGTTGGCTCCGGCGTTGATTTCACTTTCTTTTGTACTGCTTTCTTGCTCAGACATTGTAGGAAGTCAAGAGAAAGGAGGGCAAGAAACGACGCGCGAGCTATGAAAAGGAAAGATGGACATGGGAGATGACCGAATTTGACAATCGTGCTACGAAGCTCTTGGAACTTGGGAATACAGACTGGGAGTAGGACATAATCCCGGTTAGGCCTACGTCAGAGGGGTCAATTAACCCTGGACTTGGTGGCAGGTAGAATGGGAAACTTGCACAAGGCCGCCCACCAGAACCGGGAATTGACATTTTCAGAGCCATTAGAGCACCATGCTGCCCTAAGATGTGGCGCTAAACAGGGCCTCCCACTTCAAATGCAACCGCTTTACAGGGGTCAGACGACATCTACCGAGCGATCGCATTGCCCAGTGTCCCGAAACCAAGCTAGACAAAAGACCAAGCGCAAGATGTCTCTATCGAAAGGCTGCGGGTAGGCTAGTCATGGGTGGCTTAACGGAAAACAGGTCTTGCCACGAATATGCGAGCGACGGGGGGATGGTGGACACTGAAAGCTCCGTACTCGATACAATATTTGTCGGTCAGCGAGCTTTGGGAACAAGAGAGCGAACGCACAGACTTCTCAATGAATTGAGAGGTTAAGCACATATCACGAAAGCAAAACAACGGAACGTCACCAAAGCCGAGCTGTCCACGTAACTTCAGGGTCTAATTCCTCTCCTCATTCATGGTTCTGCGCATCGTACCAAATAATCCATCACCAGGTTATGTTATGCCGAGGGCCAGACCGACTTGTAGCACATGTTTGGAGGAAAAGTCCATGGATCGACCTGCATCCATTTCCCAGCCATCTCTTCAACGAGACTGACGAAGACGAGAGAAACACGCCGGTCGTCAATGTACACAGTACATACAGGTCGCCTCGTAGCTTGCTCTGATCCCCACTCCGTACATCTGCGGCTACTCATATTGACGCCGCTTTTGCGATCGACAAGCGGACAAGCCCTGGCAGACCTGCAGACCTAGTATGTCAATCAGGGTTTGTGGTGGCTAAATACGAATCCCTTGTCAAGGACCCCTGCTGCCGATGATGTCGTTCGTCGAGTCTGCATTCCCAGTTCTGACGATAGCTTTGCTGCTTTTTGCACGTTGGTAGATCTGTACCCGCCTCCACTCTACATGCCACATTTGGAGCTGTCCCTCCGTCGTATTGATTGCTGCTCCTCGATCCGTCTTTCTCCCCCCATATGAGCTCTTGAGGCAGAAATGTCAGACACCGAAGAACCTTCGCAACAACCGACCCCTTCAAAGACACCCAAAAGGCCCCAGGCACCAGAACGGACAGACTCCGATCAGTCAGTGGATGACCCGGGCTACCAATCCGGCCGATCACGATCGCAGTCACGCCGAAGACGTCGACAGAATCAGCGCCAGAGAGCACAGCAACAGCAGCAACAGCAACAGCAGCTGCAAAGGCAGGATGGTGGTTCAGGTAGAGGTGCCCAGGCGCAATCAATGGCCAAGATAGATGAAGAGCAGGGAAATGAGGCGGAAAGCCAGGCGCAGAATACTATGCAAATGTTCGAGAGGATAGGTAGGTTTCAGCTCGGGCTTTCCTATGTGCTGCGCATCATTTGGCGTGTTTCTCCCACTTGCAACATGTCCTAAGCAATACTCAAACTGTTTCAAGCTGTATCTGTCTCGTATACTTTGGTTTTAATTGCTGTCCCTCCGTCGAAACCTACCTGCATCTGTAGCCTTCCCAGACTATGATCTTTCATCTCCGAATTCCATCGTCTACAATCCTTCTCCCCACGATCAATCCTATTCTCACACTCACCTCCGCAGGCCCAGACTCAACCTCCATGGATGGTCCCGTAACCTACGCGCGTGCCATGCGCGGCGAAATCCCCATGCGGCCTGGAAACCCCAACCAAGCTCTCGGCACAGCTAACCAATCCGTCGATGCCAAATCTGGCGGCAAAAACATCATGGATGAAGAAGGGTTGAAGTTGAGGTTGGAGTTGAACCTAGACATTGAGATCGAGCTCAAGGCCAGTATCCATGGTGATCTGACACTGGCGCTTTTGTAAGTGACATCCCTTTTTCGGAGAGGTGTGTGTTTCTGATAACGATTGTAGGGCTTGATTTCTAGTTCCTAAGCACCATCATCTGTCTTCCGATAACTGTTTTCTACCGAGTGGGGTGTTTTGGTGCACCAAGTCTGATGGCGCGACTGCTGATCTGAACTGTGCCAACCACGCAGAGAGTAACAACATATCTTCTGGAAGGGGTAAAGGGAGCGTGTTGCCACTTAGGCACCGAGACTTTGAGTGCATGACTCGGCCGAGGATAAATGGGCTGTGCTACTCTACTTCATCTAGGGCAGAAACGAAACGGAGCGTACAAAACGCATTCGCATTTCTATTTGCGGCAAAAATCCACGATTTCATTAACAACCTACATATCTGTCTATCATTGTACGAATCCATCGCAACTCTTCCCAATGATATGTTCCCCTAGACGCATCCCAGATACTTTTCTACACCTGTCCACTCCATTCTTTCTTGTCTGTTTGGGCTTCTAGTTTCATCGTCGCAATCCATATGATTGATTTCGAAGCCTAGAACGTACACAATCAAGGGCTGGCTGCATTGAAATATTGGCAATTGCTATCTCACATTCGAGCCTTCATTCCTGGTGCCCACCCGTTCACTGTCAAGCCATCCCTCTCTCGTTCAATCCCCTGTCAGCGAGATCTGCCTCGAAGCCCCATGAAGCCCGACCCGCAATTAATTCTTATGCTTTCCACTCCTAAAGCAAGTGGTGCATTTGTCATGAATTCCTGGTTTCTCACTCGCGACGTGTGCGCAGTCTTTCACCCTCGCCGACCCCTCCTTAATCTACATTGCGGCAACCCCTCTCCCCATATAACTTCAGCAGCTGGTTCTGCCATGACAAACCCCTTCTACCGGCTTCCCGGCCTCATCCTTCCACGTCCTAGCTAGAGACTGAATGGAATTTATGAACACACAGATGATACAAGGTCTGGCTGGCATGCCTCCGTCGGTTTTCTCACTGGCCAATGGATGGATCGGATCTTCTGGATTGCTAGTTTTTTGCTGCATGAGCTATCTACAACCATCTAAACCAATGTGAGCACATGGAAAAAGGCCGGAGATCCCTGACCGGTAGAGTTTGCTTGAGTCATTTTACTTTCAGCCATCGCCGGGCGAGGCAGTTTTACCTTCTTGCCTCGCTCTACTGGCACCTCATCTGATGCCCTCTTATCTACCATCTCTTCTCCTATTGTGTTGTTTCCGTATCTAAGCCCATGCATGGTTCTCTACGCTCTCTCATGGACTTACCTATCCTCCAAAACAGCTTCCCAGCTGTAGTAGTACTCGTGCAAGTCCGAGCTGCACAGGAACAAGAAAGGCCGGACCTTGACCGTCTCTGCTTCCGCACGCTCAACATGGTACAAGTTACAGACGGATACGGATGACGAGAGAGGAAGAGAGATCGTCGCGGCAGTCTACTGGGGTGTCTCTGCGCGCGGGTATGAAGAAGTCGAGGCAGAGGCAGAAGCTGAGACGGAGTGAATAGCGGAGCTGAGCTGATCGCACTCTAAACAAGGCGGTTACACGAGCCACGGCGAACAGGCAAACTGTGCCACAGCGATTCAAGCTTCAGGATTCACGCTATGGCTGGCGTTGAGACCCAAGACTCACCACGGACTAGTGGTCTGGTTGCCGGGCCCGTCCGTCATCCTGATGCAGCCCCGTGCATTGTGCGTTGTGGGTGTGACTTTTTTTTTTTCTCTTACTTCTGATGTGGTGAGGAGGTGAGGAACACCATCTACCATCCACCGTCATCGATCTAGCATGGTATGGTATACCATCCTAGTCTGTGGAGATGTTCATTCATCGTTTGGGGCCATGGCATATGCGGCCTGGCGGGCTTCGATGGTAAACAGATCCAGATGCAGATGCAAGTCCAAATCCAAATCCCACATCGAGCACCGGCAAAGAAGTTACTTATAAAAAAAGGGTCTTTGCTGGGGTAGGCAAATATGTAAGATACTTGGAAAGTTGTATGGGCCGAGCATAGTTTTCAAGGAAAAAGAGTAATGAGCAGTCCGCACTGTGCTTGCCGACCTATGGATCGTCCAGTGCAGGGTGTGACAGTAAATATCCCTCTCGTGAGTCAGATACAGAAACTGCCAACAGTGACGTGGATAAGGATAGAGTAGATGAAACACCCTCCTCGATCTGCAACAGTAGCAGTACCAGCGTAGAATAGGGAGACACGATGCTTACTCTCTTTCTCGTCCGGCATGGATACAACCAACCGACTCTGGCTTGATTTCGGTTTCTATGACCACAAGGCCACCAACGCACTCACTCATGAGGACTGACGCTGTCCTGTTGCGCCGTGGTATGGGTCTCCATCTCTGGGCTCTGGGTCTGCATCATCTGATCCATCAGGCCAGCATTGTACCTACTCCTCTTTCGCATGCTTTGACCAAAGAAGAACATAACAAATGGCACCGGACTCAAGGCCAAGACGGCAAACCCAAATGCCCCCAATGTCCACATCGGCGTAGCGCGCATAAAGCTCTGAATAACGACTAGCGGGATGACGCCCGCGAGGGCAATACGGAAACATGCCACCGCCGTGAGAGCGGCTAGTGTGCCCTTGGGTGGATAGGCGTCAAAGAGATAGGCGATGATGCCGATGAGGGCGGACATGCTACCCCAGACGTAGACTGTAGTTCCGACGATGGGAACGATGTAGTTAACGGTGGGCTTGGCGGTATTGCCCACCCAGAAGAGTGCGGCCATCATCAAAGGAGCGCCTATCATGGCTGGGTAGAGACGATATTCAATGTTCGGCAGCATGCCCATTTTCTTATTGTTGCCACGAGGGCGGAAAAGCATGTCTAGGAGGACTGACATGGTGAGCGCAAGCACTGTACCAGCTAGTGCAGAAGTGAAGGCGAGTCCAACGCTCTGAATAGTGAAGCTGTAGGCTGATCCCAGTGCAACTGGAACGGTGATGAACCACTGAAATAGGAAGCCGAAGTTGGCGCCGAGAAGAAGGGAGGACATTATGACGATGGGCTCTGAGACGAGCATAATTAGAGGATCAATGATGGTGACTTTGGCCATTTCCGCTAAGGTGACTCCGGATTCTGCTTTTGGAAGATTGTCTGGTCGACCAGCTCGCTTGGCTCGGGTTCGAACGATTCGTCGAGGATACGTTTCGGGCATGCCTACACCGAAGAGGAAAGCGGCGAACATGGCCATGAGGCTGACGTACTGAGTCCAGCGCCATGAGGTGACCGGAACAACGAAACCGAGGACGATAGGACCTAGGAGAGTCAGCCAAAGTGGAACATGGTGTTGATCTACCTCTATACGTACCAAGGCCGGCTCCGACATTAGCGGCAGCGGCAAGAAAGGAATAGTATGTGTTGGTGGCACAAACGGACCAGACATCGGCAAAAGTGCCCTCGATCAAGACCAAGCATGGTCCACCACATAGGCCGGCGAAGAAACGAGTTGCTGCGAGCGCCGACCATGTCCTGCTACGACTCGCACCGAGTGTGAAGAGCATGCAGAGGAAGAGGCTGACAAGGTATACAGGTTTGCGGCCGAATCGTTCGCTCCAATGTGGCGTATGGATTGATGCAAAGAATATGCCAAATATGTATAGAGAAAACCCGAGCGTGACGACTGGCATACTGATATTGAACTCCACCATGATCTCTGGAATGGCAACCGTATAGGATGTAAGGCCAAAGCCACTAGGAGAGTTAGAAGCCATGCATGTCAAACATTCCAGTTCCTCAACTTACACCACGGCAGTGAAGAGCCAAGAAACCAGAGATACATATAGTCTTCGAACCATTGGCCAATTCATTGGGCTGTCTGGGTCATTTGCTGGGAGATGATGGCCATTGGTAGCTGGGAGACTCGGGTCATCAAGTTGCTTCATGCCTCTTTCTGAGTCTCTTAACACGGGACCGTGGTCGACCATTATCTCTTAGGGAGCTGGGAAGACTTTGAAAAAGACGAAGAAAGCGTCAAAGAGCTGGTGGGTGATAGGAAGTGATAGTGTATTTAGGATTGAATGACTATGTTGAAGGAGAACAAAAATAATCGGAATAATTGGGAGTGACTGAGCATTTATATACATCCTTCCGGTATTGCAGGCACAAGTTTTGGCGATCATGGAACAGCAAGTTGGTCGAGATAGAGCTGAGGCGGAGCTATGGCTCCAATGCATGATATATGAATTAAATAGAAATTGTGATGAATCTGAGCCAATGAGGGCCCGCCGGGAACGGAAATGGGTTTGACGGCAATTGGAACTGGAGAAGTGCCCACTAACAGCCATGGGTGCAAATACAAATTGCGTCCTAGCAGGAGCGCGAACATGCAAGCTTCGAGCAGGGCGATGGACTCTTTCCCATAGCCTCAGGTTGATGCTCAGTCAACGAATTGCTGGATCTGGTTAGTCAGGGCTGGTTAGGGGTCTATGCGATTAGCCCCTAGAAGACATGAAAACCACTGGGGTTGGTATGTGAGTCTCGTTTTTGGGGCGGTCTTCTTGAGACGACAGCTAGTAGCTTCTTCCAGCTATAGCATCGAACTGCTGAGAACGATAGAGCTGTCCAGGAAGAGTTGCTACAAGACAAAGGCATAGGTGTTCCATGAGAGGAAGTCTATGAGATGATCAGACATTGATGGGAACCAATCCAATAATTTCTTGCAGAGGCCCTTCAAGCAGGCAAATCGATCAGAGCAGACGAGATTTGATTGGAGCTAGGAGGAGAAGATGATGAGGATGATGAGGAATCAACAAGCTCATTGACGTGGCATTGTGGCTGATCCGCTTGGACCCAGTGCGCACAGACCAGCTTCCATTTAGTGGTTACAGATCCTTCTATCGGATCATGTCAACACCCAAACTCGGTACTTAAAGGAGAGTGACTTGGGTAGACGACCAAGCGACATGACGGCAGGGGGAAAGAGACCTGGAAGGTTCGCCGAGAACGTTGGTTTCGATGTAGCAGCTCCCAGACATCATTCGCACTCAGCTAGTCAAGATTGTTTGGGAAGAAGGTTTGTAGTACCTAGCACGTCTTGGTCCTTGTAGACTGAGCTGGTAGTGGCTGTGTGACTGTGGTTTACCATTGAAATAGTCATACCTGACAGGAGACGACCAGCGACAGCCACGGCCAGCTCCTGAATACTGCATACTGCATACTGTTCTTGGGCACCACAAATCCAAACGAAACAGGCAGTGAACTGGGATGCAGCAGTGTATGTTTAGTTAGTTATACGGAGAGGATGGAGGATATTTCTGATTTCTGCGTAGTCAAAAGACTTGATTTGCTGTGCACAGACCAAGTGTAAAGTGCTTGCAGTCGCGTCTCAATCCTGGGCGCGTCAACAACCTCCGAGGCATCGCCCGGCAAGATCTGGATCTGAATTGCTCTACATAGAACTATCAAGCAGCGAAACTACATTCTCAACATGGCACTGCTCGTGGACAAGCTCCGCCCACGCTCCCTCGATGCCCTCACATATCACCAAGACCTCTCTAGCCGCCTCGAAGCACTGGCATCCAGTCCCGACTTCCCGCACACGCTCTTCTACGGCCCCTCCGGCGCGGGCAAAAAGACCAGAATCCTCGCTCTCCTCCGCTCCATCTACGGTCCGGGTGTAGAAAAGATCAAGATTGACGCGCGAGTCTTCGCAACCAGCTCGAACCGCAAACTCGAATTCAACATCGTCAGTTCAGTCTACCATCTCGAGATCACCCCGAGCGACGTCGGCAACTACGACCGGGTGGTGATCCAAGAACTCCTCAAAGAAGTCGCACAAACCCAACAGGTCGATCTGAATGCACGCCAACGCTTCAAAGTCGTCGTCATCAACGAAGCCGACTCTCTCACCCGAGACGCCCAAGCGGCATTGAGGCGAACAATGGAGAAATACAGCGCCAACGTGCGCCTGATCCTCCTCGCCAACTCCACAGCCGGCATCATCGCCCCCATCCGCTCCCGCACCCTGCTGATTGCTCCGTCCTCCACAACGCCACCACGACGCAAAAATGGAAACACATCCCCGCCCTGAACGAGCGTATAGCCCGCGAATCTGGCCGCAATCTCCGCCGCGCCCTCCTCATGCTCGAAGCCGTCTACGCCACAACGCCCGACCCCACAGAGAAAACCCCCATCCCGCCTCCAGATTGGGAAGTGCTGATCTCTCAGATCGCCGACGACATCATCGCCGAGCGGTCGCCTAAACAGATCCTCGTTGTGAGGGCGAAGCTGTATGACCTGCTGACGCATTGCATACCGCCGACGATGGTGATCAAGACCTTATGCTGGAAGTTGGTCGAGAGGGTGGATGAGGAACTGAAGCCGGAGATGGTTAGGTGGGCCGCGTTTTATGAGCATAGGATCAAGTTGGGCAGTAAGGTTATCTTCCATCTGGAGGCTTATGTGGCCAAGGTGATGAGGGTTTATGAGATGTTTTATGCCGGCATGGGCTTGGATCTTGATTGATTGATGTTTGCTTAGCGGGAGAGCTCGAGTGGAATGCTAGCTACCTGAGTGTAATGACATGATGAGGTTTGCCTCCCTGTCCTCTTGAGCACCCCCAACAATCAAGCCCAGTGACCATGCCCAGTGACCTCGTAAGCGATTCTGTTCCAAGTCGAATAGCAACCTGAAAGTAGGATGATACCTTTGTGCTCACAGTGCTTTCCCACCCGCAGCGTGAAAATGAAATGACTTCGCCTTCGCATTCTTTCTCTCCACCGACAGTCTGATATCGACATGACGGCATAGTGTACAGTATTGCCGACCAGAACCGTAAAATCGAGACGCCTTCATGGTTACAACCTTCCCGCCAACACCAATCACACCAATCACACCAACCACACATCCATCCCTGTTCGAGAAGCCACCTGAAAATGACAACAATTCTTCGCATCCACACTCTTGCACACTGGCACTACAAGCAGACTGACCAACTAGTTGTCATAAGCACCCCTTCCAAACAACTCGTTAAAGTACTGATTCTCCTCGAAGCCATCGACATCCGGAGTAGAACCAAGCGGAGGTAGAGCGATCTCGCCATCCCAGCCCTGCCAACCCATGTCCATGCCCAGGTCCTGAGACTGCTTGCACGGCTCCAAGGTAGAATTAAGGGTGGGATCGAATGTGGGACCGAGTGTGGGATTAAGGGTGGGATTGAAGGTGGGATCGATTGTGGGATTAAGGGTGTGATCGAGTGTAGGATTAAGGGTAGCATCGAAAGTAATATCGAGGGTGGGGTCATAGGCAGGTAACTCATCCTGAAACTCGCCATTGTTGAAACGCTCTGTGAATTCTTCAAAGGACATGAACCCGGAAGGGTCTGCTTCAGCAAGAGTCCGCTCGGTGGAGTTACTGCTGGTGAGAGTAGGCGAGTTGGATGCAGGTGGGCAGGCAGACAGCGAAGCTCCCGTTTCATTGCTGGCCACATCTTGGCTCACCTCCAGAGCGGTCGAAGTGTTCTGCTCTACGGTTGCTTGAGCTTGTTCGATGCTGCCTGGCATGGTCGAGGGTAGACTGTTGGTCGAAGCTGCAGAGTCCGGGTTTGCCGATCCAATCTCGGCGCGAATTGCCTTCTCAAGCTCGACATCGGCCTCGTTATTGATCCCTGGCTCAGTTGAAGACTGCTCAGTAACCTCTTCAGGAGCCGAGGCTGCATTGCTCGTAGATGAAGCATGGCCAAGGCCAGGAGGCTCAACTTCCTTGTCGGAACCGTCGTGGTTAATCGCAGTGACGGTACATGCCGTAGGATCGTTCATATTGATGATGGCATTCGAATGGGTGGTGTTAGGCATTTGCGATGTGACTGGAGTCTGGTGGGTGACTTTTTTCTCGTGAAGCGTTACGTAGCGCGCGGGAGGTGGCTTTGTTCCCATTTGCTTGTACTTTTCGAGTTCTTCTGGAGAGTATTTCGGCTGATGCTCAATGTAGACCTTATGTTCTCCATGAGACCCAGGTAGGGGCCCAACAAAGCAGTTGGGAGGAGGGTAACCGTAGATGCTGACAAAGTATGGGAATAGTGGTTCTTCCATCATCCACTCCTCTGTAGTGCCGGGATTGCGAGTCAGCCGGGTGATCCTGGTTGAAGTAGGTTTGTCAATGCGAACTGCTGGAGTTGGACCCATCATCATCATATTGTTTGGGGCTGCACTATTTGCTGAAGTTGGGGCGATCACACCCAGGCTCGTCTGAGCCATAGAGTTCGCTGGAGGTTGAGTGGTCATGTTCGTACTAGTCGCAGCCATAGTAATTGGTTGAGCTTCAGCGGCAGCAGCACGTGCGCCGTTTCGCTTAGCAGACTTGTTCTCAACAGTGGCATTGATGGAGTTGGCTGTCTTGGTGGCTTGGGAAATGTTTGTGGTGACTTTTTGAGGCTTCTTGTTCGACGATGCAGCCACAGGTGGAGGAGTAGGTGATGTAAAGCTACTGATGAATTGAGCAAAGTCTGGCAAGTCTGGGTTGAAGGTTGACTGCACAGCACTGGGTCGCTGCTGGTGAGACACTGCTGAAGACGCCAGTGCTGCCTTTTTCGCCTTTCGGGCCTCTGCTTGCTTCTTCTTCACTAAAGCTTGTCTCTGCTTCTGCGCCGCCGCCTTGCGCTGGAGATAAATCTTGTGCTGCTTGACGCATTCTTCGAGGATCCGAACATTTTGCACAAACTCGCGGCTCTTTTTGATGTCGGAGAGTTCCTGCCAAGCAGCTGCTAAGCTCTCACTGAGCACAGCTCTGGGTCCGTCGGGGAATGCGGCACGCTGACTTGCATTCAAAGGGCAACCATAGAGTTTTTGTTCGACAAGAAAGGTCAAGATCATGTGAGACTGGTAATTGGCGAAAGCGACGGCCCACTTGTTGCGTTTCTTGCGGAGCACAGCGAAATATTCCATGAGCGGAGGACCACAAGATGTGACCTTGAAGTGAGGTTCAAGAACCTTGATTTTCTCCACAATAGCTCGATAGTTGACGGCACAGCCAGGTTCATTGCTGAAGATTACTTTGGCGACAGTCGGATACTTGAGCAAGACTCCGGGCGGAATCGGTTTGTCGAGGCTGAACTGGCTCTTCGCATTGGGGATGGCCATGAAAGCTTGGAAGACTTTTGCGAATGCATTATCGATCTCCATCGTGGGTTTGTTCGGGCTGTATGTTGCAGAGTTGAGGAAGAGATTGTGCGATGAGTGGATGGTTGATTTCAGACAATGGGAACGAGGTTGTGAGCAGAAATATTCGAGTTCGAATGTGCGCAACCTGACTTCAGATTTCGGTTGAGCTCTGATGCAAGCGAGGTTCGGGATTTACTAGGCGTGATACTCGAAGTTGTGGGATGAGTAGTGCTTGTGAACTGACTGATTACCATGAACAAGTAGAAAGAGTTGAAGGGCTGCTGGTTGGCGTCTGCGAAGATGAGTTGCGGTGTCAGTTTCGTGCGGTGTTAAGACGAATTATAGAGTAGATGGTGACAGGTCAGAGAGGTTTCTCCAAGTTCTGGCAAGCGAACACCAGGAAGCGATGAGAATTGCCATATTAGGAAATTTTCGCTGCTTCCTGCAGGCGGCCTAAAACGGCAGAACCTTATTTTACCAAGCCGCAGACATATTGACATGGACATTAGCTTTTGAGATGAATTGATCTCTTTCTAGTGTAACGGCATGATCTTTCAACCTCTTGGTAATTCCAGGTCGACTACCCATGGAGCATTGCGAGGGTGGTATCTCACGTCCATAATGCTAGCATTGACGAACAAAGTCTCTTGCCCCCATTGCAGCTGACTGCTTCCACTGGAAGATATGTCGATGAATGCCCCCCGCCTTTCCAAAATCTCACCTCGATCTACCACGATTGGTATCAATTGATCTTCACCATCAGCTCTCTCATCTGACGCCCACTTCATTCGTTTTGCTCCCCAGCCTTCATGAATGTGGCCAAAAGCATGTATTCTTGGTTTACATCTCTTCACAGCACGAAGTAAATGCTGACAGCCAGCAGATGCATTCATCCTTGCACCGAAGCCTACCACACTGTCCATAATGCCAAAAGGTGGCCCGTGGGTGACCATAATATCAATATGTGGATGAGATGGGATTGGATTCGCCGGGCCCTGGCCTAAGAGTCGTTCGACCGCTGAGGGTGGGTTGAAGCGATCTTCAGTTCTCTTATAAGCAAAGGCCCAATCACAGAATTCTGGTTGATAGGCTGAAGCATAAAGGGTGAACTTGGCCCCATTCTTCAGCTGAAAAGACTGGATACCCTCCTTCATGAGAACAATCCCTGCTTGGCGTGCTTTCGGACCGCTGTACATCTCCCTGATGGCAACGAGATCTTGAGGAGTGCCATGCTTCCATGGATGACTGTTGTAGTATGGTTCATCGAGGGTAATGTCATGATTACCAGGAATGACAACCTTCAATTCCGCTGGATGTTCCATGAACATTTCTACTTGCGCTTGGTGTTCATGTCGCTTGCCGGAACCCGTCAGGTCTCCTGCATGGAGCAAAACATCAGCATCGGGTAGAGGTGCACGGAAAGCATGTTGTGCATCAGCAGAATCGAAGGGCTTCCGGTTATGGGTGTCGGACATGATGATGATGCGAGTTTTTACGGTCTGCGATTTAGCAGACGGCTCCATTCTTCGTGGGCAAGAGGCCAGAAGACGGAGAAGTCACCTTGGCGATATCGTGAGAGTAGTAAGTCTCAGATCACAGCAGGAAGATTCACACAGCTAATCATGTCACGTCAAACTGATGTGATGTTATCATCCACGTGACGGCTTTCCAATTGAAGGAGAACACGGTCTGTTCTGTTGAGATGGCAATCTGGGAGAAATGAAGAAGTCGGAAGCACTGCCAGTGAATGTGGCTGCCTACAATATCAGACAAAATGAAGGGATAATGCATGGTCCGGATAAACGTCGGAACTTGGTAGACCTCAGTTACTCCACCCGCCCGCTTCTAGAGTGCAATACGTTGAATGAGGATCGCATTTCAGCTTCATCAAGAATACTATGTTCAATCATGGCAGTCTTTGCAATTGTATCAGCATTCCAGGAGGACTCTGCTATCTTTCCTAGGAGATAAGACTCATGAGTCTTACTGTAGTCATCAGGGATAACTGGCCTAGGCCTTTACGCTGCTTGTCCGCGTCTCATCAACAACCTGGTTAGTTCTACACTTATGCAGAATGTGCCACGAATTTGGTGCTCGGCCTCAGACGGGCTAAGAACCTGTCCCACTGAGGAGGTCTGATTGTCCATTGATGCAATTTTGCATATTTGTGGGACTTGCAGAGGAAGTCGTGTTCTGGAGGGGCCATCGATTGACGATGGTTGGGCTGTTCGAGGGTGGCACATTGCTTCTGCAAGGCATCTATGGAACATGACCCACTGTGACGATCAGCTAGGCATTACTGAATTTTGAAAGTTAACACAAATCGTGCCGTAGTGGTGCCAGTAGACGGGGCGCCAATTCGCCAGAAAGGCAAGGGAGGCTGCTCGAGCACAAAAGGAAGATTGTGTTGGGGCTGCAGTATTTCCTCAAGCCAGGAGCTACAAAGGCTGTTAATGGCCTGCTTTGTCTCAACAATAGTTATTGTTCTTCCCAGGCTAACCTGAGGTATTTGGGACAAAATACGGTGAAAGGTATGCATATCCATAGGAATGGCTGACATGCTCGAACTCTGAGGGAAAATATGGGCTAATGCTCGAAAAATGGCTTCCTTGAGGGACTTAACCTGGAGAGCCTTGTACGAAGCGGTCATGCCCACGTTCAAACAGATTCCGGGGTGACTGCGCATTGTATAATACTATTTCAAAAGTCCTGGTAGGGATCAGCTTCGCAACTAAATGCTTTGAAATCTGCAATCCTTACTCAATGGCCGAACGCGCTCCAATCCCGGCAGCGGGCTTACAATTGAGGTGAAGGCAGGTCTTGTAGGTGGTGTTGGAACATAGGTCGTCTCGGCCGGGAAGGAGGACCAACCTACGCTGTCTCCTGCTCAAGAGTATCGGCCATGTCGCCCAGGGTATCAAATTTCCAATCATAGATCTGCTCAGTAGCGTTTCCCATTGTAGCACCGGGCCTAACGATCCATACTGACTTGATGCCCATCGCAGAGGCAGGGTGATGATCGTGAATCTGACTTTGAGCTGTTTGTAGCACCTTGTCCTTTCCAACACCGAACTTTGATTCGATATGCTCTAGCATGTATTCGAAGTTGTGCACATGTGGCTTATAAGATCCAACATCTTGAGCTGTGATAATCGCATCAAAGTGAGTGCCTTCTAAAGGCCCAGCATTGGTTGCATTGAACGACACTCGATCAACGTTAGACAGGACGAGGAGCTTGTAGTGTTTTGAGAGTCGCTTTAGTGCATCAATTGTGTGAGGAAAAGCTGGCCATTTGCCCACTGAATCCCCAAATTCTTTGCTCTGTTCAGCTGTCGGTCTATCCAGTTCGAGTGCAGCCGCAAATTGGGGATGGACTGTGCTGAGCAGTTGCGAATAAGGCATATCAGGAGTTCTATCCTGCTGCTGGCGTTCCAATTTATGAAACACTTCTAACAGTTCCTTGCGAGAGAAACTTCTTCCATTATTATTGAGAATTGGCTGGAGTGCTGCAAGAATGCCACTTTCCCAATCAATCAAGGTGCCGTATACATCAAACGACAGCAGACAGTAATCGGACAGCTTTGACATACCGAGTAGCGGATGGAGCTGCGAGACAGTTACAATATCGTCAACCATTAAGACGTGATGGAAGAAGGTTTAATGGGGGTGTCGTCAAAGACAGGGCGTGCGGATGACTAATCCTAACTTGGCGCTCACACTGGCTTCAAGTTCCCCATGACAGCTTGTTGACAAGTTGTTCATCACATCATCGGAAGCATAGCATTTACACACACTTGAGCCAGCTAAAGAAGTTTTACCAAACCAGGCCACATCTCATGATTCCATCATCAACTGTACCACCTGTCTCTTTATATCGTTGAGGTGACTGAGACGATATCTGCAAACAAAAGTCTAATTACCTCATATGATATGGTGAATCAGAAACAGTGCTGTACCTTGTGCAACAAGACGACTGATGAATCGAGATAAATTGAAAGCGGCAGACGTGCCACGAAAGAAGCGCCTCCCTTGTTAACATTTTCTCTCCTTCGTCTATTCCACTCAACCCTCTATTGATCAGCCAAGACTCCGCGATCCATCAACTGCTAAGGGGCGAATAGATCAAAGCATGCTGATATTCATATACCACTTATTAGATTTTTGCCGAGTACACGCAACCATCCAGCTCCCAATGATCTAACCAAGAAATACAGATGCTCGCTCAGCTTCCGGCTTTCAACAAAAAGGTCAACGATCATAAGTCTAGAGCGATCTACTCTGTAGGAATGATGCGATAGCCCCCTCTCCTTCAACGCTTCCAATATCACCTTGTTCCTTCTATCCCACGATGCCGACCTGAGGAAGCCTCTGTTCCTCGTCGTTCCTTGGGGCTCCAGCAAGCTCATCCCGTCTGTTCTGCCGTTTGTATCCGAGATAACAGAATATGACGAGCAGGATTACGGCCAAGACGATGATACACATCCACACGATTGGTGTTGTGTTCAGTCCCTTTGAATCCCTGAGATCAGGCGCCTGTCCCGATCCGTTGATCGCATCGGGATCAGCTATTGCTTTGGACAGCAGATCCGTCTGCCGGTTGGCTATTCTTGTGGAGTCTCGATGCGGCGGCGATGAGTATTTCGATTGGCTGGCCGCCTCGAAGGGAGCGAGAGTTTGGCTGGCCTCGGCAGGTTGTCGAGAATTAGCCATGGCACGAGCCATGGCAGAATAAGGTGAAGCGAACCCCATATGTGTTGATATATAATATGTCGTTTGATATTTGCTTAGCGCTGTACAACAATCAGACCTGCAACATCAAGAAGTATCATGTAATCCATGGGGTTTTACCTGATAAATTGTTATGATGATCTGCTCGAGAAGTGCTGGAGGGTTTTCTTTGCATGATATGATTCTGCGAACAGCATAATTCGGGAGCAAGTTCTGAAGACTAGTACTCATGGGAGTCATCTCAAGGACCTTGATGCTTTGCGCTTAGTTTCAGGTGCTTGGTGCCACGATAGACCAGTTCCTTGCTATGCTCCACATCTCTAGAATCTGTTGAATTCTGCGCATACCAAGCACCATTCGCTTTTGACCGGAACGTTGTTAGCATATTGGTGGGTTGGAAACGGAAATCCTGTTGGTCAGAGGGTACACATTGTGGGACCTTCATGTCTGCTAATCTGTCTCCACAAAGGAAGAACAATGAACCTTAGCAACGTAAGTTTGCAGTGCATTCATATTTGTCCCCTTGGTGTGCCCCTTGTGCAAGCACACAAAGTTTTTGACAAGCTCCGTTCAAATTGACCGGAAGTCTGCTGCACATTTTCGTTCGGTACTTATTCAATTTGTCCATCCTAAATTGCAGAAGTGCATTCACGAAGTTTGCTTCACTCCTTCTCACTGCTCCCCGTTCAATCACTCATCATGCAACTAGTACTCTACGGATTGCATCCCCATCAACCATAATTGTTCTAAACCGGCTGAGGCTTCGATTCGAGTCCGCATTCTGCCGAAATTGGCAAGAAAAGAGAGCCCTTGTCACAATTGAAGAGTGCGAGGGACAATTCAAGCGGCGTTCAAGATGACAGTTGGGGAGTTGGACGCTCTTGCTTTCATGTGTATGAAAGCGTTTCCAGCTGGCTGAATCGTCAAAATCCAGCAATGCTGCGATCGGATACGCACAAGCATTCTTTAATGGCTCGATGTCTCAAAAGATGGACGCAACTCTTCGTTCAAAGGAAACTCGCTCATTCTTAAAATGGGTTACGCCAATGATATCGCGCATGAGGAGGATGGGTGACGCCACAAATGCAACTTCAAGAATGTGGAGCGAGGGTCGACTCCATCCATTCACAGCCGATGAACGACGATCTGCTGGCCGTATCCATTATAGCTAACGGCGATTTGGATTCGACGCATCAGGTATTCGCAATTCGGACAGCACTCTACGATCTGAGCTGGTTTTTTTGGCTTGATACAGGCACCGGATGCTTCAATTTAAAGCGTACAACGGTCGATACGAATTGCAATACGTTCCCATGCGGAGAGCCGTCCGAGAGATCATCTTCATGCCCACGCGCTCAGCAATATCTAGGGCCCGAGGATGCTGGCAGCAAAATCTTCATACTCTTGTGTTGCCGAGGCTTCCGCTGAGAAATGAAAAGCTTCATCGACATCTTTGCCCTTCAGGACTTGAGACGTCGTCGAAACTACTCCACTACCTATGATGGAGATGAGGGTTCTACTTCTTGCATTACTGGTCTGGCTACGCTACTTGGAGCTTGACCACGTAACAATCCCACGGCGTAGAGGTTCGCCTCTTGATCAGGGTAGTCACACGCGAACTTCGACCAAAATCGGTCAGGCATTGCCCACGCGCGTTGTTCTCTGCTTGCTCGCTGATGTTTTCTAATCAAGCAGGTGAGAATGAATTTGATGTCCTCGGCGTCCTCTGCTTTCTCATGCCGGGTCGTCCTGTTCGTGTATGCATAAGCTTTCAAGTGGAGGAGAAAGACCATGTTCACGACTCGGACCCGAGGCGGTTCCGCTTCAGTCGTATCCGCGTCGCCGCGGAAGATCGGTCGGCATGCCTTATCGGCGTGTATTTTGAGGTAATAGTAGTTCCTGTCAGAAGCCTCAAACCTATTGTGATGTCTCGGAATGCCTTCGGAGCGGTCCATTCGCGG